GGTCCTTTCTAGGAGGCGAGGTGTTCTGGTTTTGGGTGTTTTCCTCCTTTTTGCGCTGGTTTCTTCCCATCTTTGTGGATTTGTCCGCTGGTCGTCTGCGTAGTTGCTGACTTTTTGTTTGGGTCTCTGAGTGGACACCCAGAATGTTGATGATGAAGTATTTCTGTTGCTTGGTTTTCCTTCTACCAGTCTAGCCCCTTCGCTGTACGACTGCTGAGGTCCAGTCCAGACCCTGCTTCTCTGGGGTGCACCTCTAGTAGCTGTGGCACAGCGAGGGATGCTACCAGTTTCTTTTTCTGCTCTCTTTGTCCCAGGATGATGCCTGCCTAATGTCAGTCGTTTGTGGATTCAACGAGATGAGCTCCAATCCTGGGTTGTTCTCACAGCGCCATCTTGAGTCCCTCTCCAGTGCTGTTTCAATAAATATAAAAAACATTTTCTGTGATTTAAAAAAAAAAGTTATTAGGAGAAAATTTGCTCCTTTGGGGTCTTTTGAGATCTGTTAGAGAAGACCAGAAGAGACCCCAGTATAGGATTAATTACTGCTTTATTCTGCACACCCAATGACTCATCTATCAGAAGTTTTCCCAGCTTATCTGGTGGGAACGTGCAGTGTTTACAGTTGTTTGTGAAAGCTCAGCACTATCCCTTTTGAGTGATTTTTTTCCATGGCATATGGTAGTTTTCTCAGAGTTCTGACAAATAGGCAGGAAACACTCAAAGATAATTCTCTGCACATCTCAAGAGTTCTTAAGTTCATGTTCTATGCAGCTCTCCTCTCTCTACTTTTCTTTCCCATACTCTAGCCACATCTGCCTTTCTGGGCTCTGAGTTCTGTTTCCTGAACTCAGGGAGTCAGAAGAGCTCCGTCTGGATCCTCCCTCCCTATGCCATGGTTTGAAAGTTCTTTCAAGTTTTTTCAGTCTGCCTCACCTGTTTTGTTTATTGTTTTACAGAGATCATCTATTCTTCCGACTGTCTTGAAAATTTTTGCTTCATATATTTTGTTTGATTTTTACATTTTCAGGGCATATCTTCTCCCTGTTATCTTGTCTTGAGAGGAAATAAAACTCAGTTTTACTTCTGATAATCCTTGTAGCGTTTTTAATTCTTTAGCTAATAATCACTTTATTTGGAGAAAATTCCACATATATAAATGTTGATAGGTGTTCAATCTCATTTGTTACCGTATTTTCATTTGTCACACCATGGAACAAGGTCATGGGCATGTGACTTTGTATTCTGAAAAGGAATTAATTCAAAGTTTCTTGTACAGTTAAGGACCATGAAGTCAGGCTTAATGTCTGGTCATAGCACAAGCAACATTTTAATCCAACTACATCTGTGGCTTGATACTGTGTTTCCTCTCCTTGTTTCTGTTCCATTTTCCTCAAATTGGATATCAAACCTTCTTATATATTCTCTGAGCTTTCCCATATCTTTTCTGTCTAGGTTAGCCAGGATTGTTTCCTATTATTTATAACCCAAAGCCCTGGCTTATATATAATAACCACTTTACTCCCGGCTTTTCTTCGTTTTTGTTTATTATTTCTTAATGTAACTATGTAAGCCGAAGATTTAAATGTTTGAGTTTTACTACCTCCTATGTCTATTCTCAATATTTGATTGAGAAATAAAATATAAGATCTTTAGGATCCTGTGTTGGTCAAGATTTTCAATAAAAACAGAACCAACGAGGGATGTGTGTGTGTGTGTGTGTGTGTGTGTGTGTGTGTGCATGTGTCTCTTCCTCTCTCTCTATATATAGAGAGGTCTCTACATATACCAGTTGCCCAGCAAGCTGAGAAAGAGTTGCTGTTTGAATCCAAAGGCAGTCTGTTGGCAGAATTTCTTCTTGATTGGGGGAAATTGGTACTTGTTTCATTAAGGCCTACAACTGACTGGATGAGACCCACTCATATTATGGAGGACAATCTACTTGACTCAGTGTCCACTGTTTTAAATGTTAATTTCATCCAGAAAACACCCTCATAGAAACATTCTGAATGTTAGACCAAATATCTGGGTGCTGGATCTCAGTCACAATGATATGTAGTATTAAACATCACAGATCCCCATTTTTGTCTATTCCATTAAGCTGAATTAATTTCTGAATCTAAAAATAGAAATGATGGTTTTAATTTAAAAAAAATTCCAATTTAAGTTATACTTTTTAAACACAATATTTAATTAATGAACTCTTATGTGGATTCAATCTAGCCATAATCTTTTCTTATTCTATTTATTTTAATTTGTATTAGTTATATATACTTTCTTAGTTTCTTAAATACTTAGTGATTAATTTGATTATTTTTGCTTTCATCTGATATTTGACATATATTCTTAACAATGCCACCTTTAATATTTGGTTGACTGATATCTCACAATAACCTTATCTCTTTCTTTTAAGCAAGGTATTTTTAAATTAAAAATAAAAAGCAAAATTTTGTTTAAAATTACTTGTCTTGTCTTCTTAATCTTATACTGTCCAAGTTTAATAATTTAACCTGACAGTTTAAAATCATTAATATTAATGGATTCATCAGAAAATAGACATAATAAAATGTTTTTGATATTACATTGCAGTGATCATAATTCATTTAACAGTCAAAAAGGCAGTCTTCACATAAAACATATCTAAAATTGCTAGTAAAAGTAGCTAGTATATTGTAATGCAATAGAATTACTTGTAATAGAGTGAAACTAAGAAACTTGAGGAATTGACATTAACATTTTAAAATGACAGAAAGTTTCAAAGGTTTTCAAGCATTTTTTTCCAGAAATGTATAGTAATGATTACAATGTGAAGTCTAAAAAAGTGCCTGATAAACAAATAGATATATATCTTTGCCAATATCTCACTCTTTAAAATACTCTGCATTATAGTTTGCATTGCTTTGTAATATATATATCTTAGTGGTGTTGAAAAACTGATACCAAACGCAGACTTCTGACTTGTTGAATAGTTCAGACCTTAAATAAAGGGCCAAAATTAATTATTGGTTGGCCAACTTATTCATATATACTCTATCTTTCTGTCTCTGAACACACACACAAGCATGAACACACACACACAATTCAAGTGAAATATAAAATAAAAAGTAATGTTAAATGCATTTTAAGTTTAAGCTTTAAATGTAAGGTAGCTAGACATATAACATATCATAAGTGGAGAAAATTTCTTGGTAGTAAGAGACATTAGGATTATATGGTACAATTTTAATAGTACAGACTCAGGTGTAAGATTGCCTGTGTTTAAATCCTATTTATTTCAACTCATGACTTGTTTTCTCATTTCTAAAATTATCATATTTTATAATATCATTGATGGGGTAGCCTCAATAGGGACAATGATTAATAGTGATCAGTCTGCCCATCTCTGTATAGTCTTGATCATTGTACCATGTTATCCAGCTTAAAATCACAGAAAGATATCGAGGGGCTGGATTTTCTTTTTCTTTTCTTTTCTTTTTTTTTTTTTTGTTGTTGTTGTTGCTTTTTTCACTATAATTATTGGAGTAAATTGCTCTTACAATCCCAGTCACTGCTATATATGTTGGGTGTTTAGGGGGAAAGGGTTTGAAAAATAGCTGGAATATAGTAACCAGCAAAATGTGTATTTTTGTTTTATTAATCAAATGGCTGTAGTTTGTTTTTAAAGTTTGTCATATTACCAAAAATGTTATAAAAACAAGTCTTTCTGTCTATTAACTTTATATATAAGTGAAGAGTAAACAATTTACTGTTATATAATCAATCTTCAGTAAAACTATGTTAATACAAATAATAGTATCTCCCACTTATTCCTCAGTAATTCTATTGTAGTTAGTCAGCCCTCATAATGGTTCCAAATTATTCCTGCTTTGTGATATTTATACTCTTATGTAACCTCCAACACTTAAAAGTGAACTTGGCCTAGTGACTTGCTTTTAACAAATCTAGTATGGCAAAAGTGATGACTTTCAAAATGTCCCTTTCATCTTTCCCATCTTATTCTACTCCCTCATTTACTTACTACGAATGAAGCCAGCTGCCAGGTTGTAAGCTATCTATGAAGAAGTTCATATGGCAAGGAACTGGGAGAGGCCTCTAGCCTACAACCAGGACAAACATGAGCGTTTCATCCAGTAGCCATTAAGGAACTGAATTCTGCATATACCCATTTGATGGGGCTAGGAATCAAATTCTCTCTTAGTTCAGCCTTCAGATGAGACCTCAGCTCTGACCAACAGTTTGCTCACAGTCTTGTAACTCACTTTGAGCCAGATGCACACAGCTGGGCTGTGTCTAGACTCCTAAGATGCAAAAACTGTGAGATACTGAATGTTTATGGTTTGAGTGGCTAGGTTTTAGAACAATTTATTTTATAGCAATGAACAACTGTGGTTACAATCTATCATTCATTGTTGTAGTCAGCTGACAAAGTATGAAACCCTTTCATTAACACTATGAGACAGTTATTATAATCTCTATTTTTCAAAGAGGAACACTGGGCTTGAAGAAATTAAATAATTTGACTGTAATCATAAAGCTTTGAAATGGGCTCTGTTACAAGGGATCATTCCTAACCAACAAACACTTGCTTTTTCTCCTCATTTTTATATAGTTATTGAAGTAAAATTACATCTTACATCTTAAGTCTTGAAAACTATGTATATGTTTGCTTCTCATGTTGGATTTCACCACTATATAATTTAAAAAAATTAGAAAACCAACATTAAAACCACCACATGGATAGAGCTTCATCATCTGTACTCTGCACCATGATCCTGACAAAACCTGGCAGAGGCATGAGAGGCAAGTTATGAAAAGACTGATATAACAATTTTTTTTGATTCTATATCACATGTTAAAGATATAATTATTAAGCTATTTTATACACTTCAATAATCTAGATTCAATTTGCCATCTTATTATCAAAATTTATCTTTACTTTCATCTATTTTAGTAATCTGTGATGAACAAATAATATGTCAACTACATTATGTATTAAATACTAATTTCTTATCTAGTATAAGATCTAGTGTAAATATATTTGATTAGCATGTCTGTGAAACTCATCTATGCCATCTGGAAAGGAAAAAGTTAAGTTGCATTTTTGCAATATATTCTCCCTTCCCTGGGGACGCTCCTGGAAAATAAAGAAGTCAAGTTTGTTGAACTAATCCTCTTACAAACATACTAATGATAAATCAACCAATAAAACAACAACAATAACAATAAGAGGTTTTTTTTCTAACAAAAAAGTCTTTTCCTATGGTGAGCTTTTAGCAGAATGTGCTTAGTTGTCTGGAATTATTTATGGTAAGCAAACAGAAATATATGTATTTATGCATAATGGCTCCTTGGAAAATGTTATATATGTAACTCTTTCTGAAGAAAACACAAATGTTTTATAATCTGTCTTCTTTCATGAAAAGTGAGGTACCTGCATACCTCATAGAAAGCTCATCTGTTCACTTGGGCCAGAAATGCCTTTGATGTTGTGTGATTGGACTTAGTGAGCTGAAATCAACACAGACATTCTGATCTCACCTTTTCTTACCTGTGCCTCATGATTCCAAGTGACTTGAAATTGTTAGTAAAGTTTGATTCTGAATAAGTTCTCTGAGTCTATGAGTCTGAATGATAAACCTGATCCTTTCTGTTATTTTAAATTCCAAGATGTATTTATTTCTATGACAGCTTTTCTTAAACTTCATCCTTCTATCAGTTGGTTTAATCAATTTGGTAGCCCTTAGGGGCACAAAAGTCACCTTCTATATTGGTAAAGTAATACAAGTGTAGGCAAAATTCTACACAGTAAAAAGAAAAATAATTCACTCTTTAATTCTAGGTTCTAACACTGTCAACTCATAAGCAAACAGCAGTAGTTTGTGTATTATTATACACATGCAAAAATATCTTATAAAATATTAAGTGTTTAGCATTCCACTTGGTGCATTTTTTTTAAATTTTTTTATTGGATTATGACTTGGTGCATTTTTAACTGAGTAATATATTTTGAAGATCATTTCATATAAGCACACTAAGATTTGTTTTAGTTTTTAACCATATGGATGTGATATTTAATTCTGTAACTACCATAATTTATTCAGCTAGTCTTCTCTTTGTGAATGTTCAGTGTTTTACTTTACAAACATTTTACAATAAGCATCATCTTCATAGACTGCTGGATTAAAAAGTATACCCACTTCTCCAGACTTTTTTCCTTAGAGATATTGCCATGCTTTCCTCAAAGCAGTTACACTAACTTATCCTCCCTAAAATGGAGATCTGAGGAGCTATGCACCTGCAATTAGTGTTCTCTTTCTGTAGCAGATAGAGCCTTTTCATAGATTGTGTTCCAGGTAATGGATAAAACTATTTTTTCTCTGTATGTAATTTTCTTTTGTTTCAGAGATAACAGAGATTCCTCTACCCTTTCCCCAATTTTTACTCTCTGTTTTTCATTAAAGAAACTTGTATTTTGTCAACTATAAGCAAAGCCCATAGATAATTTTCAGTTATTTTTAAAAATATAAGTTTAGATTATGAGTAAAAAGACCAAAAGTAGTGAGCAAAATGGACCAAGTTACTTAAGGACTCAACTGTAAAACTTTATAGTTTTTGTATTTTTTATAAATCAAAACAAAGTTTAAAAATTACAGTACACATTGTATATGTTATATACACCATTTAGCATAAAAATATACCACAAATTGAATACAGCTTTGTATTTTTCAGCTGAACTATGCACAAAAATTTAACCCAGTAGACTCAATACTGCAATTTTTTAGAAAAACCCACTTGCTTTATCCATGTCCCTGCAAAGGACATTAACTCATTTTTTATGGCTGTATAATATTCCGTGGTGTATATGTGCCACATTTTCTTTATCCAGTCTATCACTGATGGGCATTTGGGTTGCTTCGAGGTCTTTGCTATTGTAAGTAGTGCTGCAATAAACATACATGTGCATGTGTCTCAGCTAACTAACACAGGAATAGAAAACCAGACACCGCATTCTCACTCAAAAATGGGAGTTGAACAATGAGAACACATGGACACAGGGAGGGGAACATCACACGCCAGGACCTGTCAGGAGGTGGGGGGCAAGGGGAGGGAGAGCATTAGGACAAATACCTAATACATATGGGTCTTCAAAGCTAGTTGAGAGGTTGATGGATGCAGCAAACCACCATGGCACATGTATACCTATGTAACAAACCTGCACACTGCACATGTATCCCAGAAATTAAAGTATAATAATAGTAATTTTAAAAAAATAATGAAAAACCTGCTTGCAAAGTTCACCCTTGGCTGGTGCCAGGGAATTCAGCAGTCAAACCATTCACAAACTGATAAGACTAGTTTACTGTGCCTGTACAGTTTGTGAAAATAATGCAGTTTATGCTAAATGCCTGTCTTCCTTCTAAGAGTTTGGAATTTTGATATGTGCTAGGAGCAGGTGTGTACATGATCAGCCCTCATAAAAACCCAGGACTCTGTTATGTGATGAATTATGTCCCCCAAACCTTATATGTTGAAATCATAATTCAAAGTACCTCAGGACGTGACAGTATTTGTAGATGGGGTCTTTTAAATGGCAACAAAGTTAAAATGAGGTCATTAAAGTGGGCTCTGATTCAATATGACTCATATTACAACAAGGGGAAATTAGGACAGATGTACACATAAGGAAAACCTACCAACACCTTAATTTCAAATTTATAGCCTCCCAAATTGTGAGAAAATAAATTTTTGATGTAAACCATTCACCGTGCAGCAGTTTATTATAGCAACTCTAGCAAACTGACACAGACTCTGAGTGTCTAATGGGCTGTGGCAGACCCATTACTGCACTTTTCACTGCCAATGAACAAAGAATGCTAGCTGGTCCTCTAAGAGGAGGGAGAGGGCATGATAGAACTGTGAATGGTTTTCTCCAGACTCCTTCCTTTGCTGATCCTGTTGCATATACTTAACACTGTAATAAATCTTATAAGTGAGCACAACTTTATATGGAGTTCAATGTGTCCTAGGAATCACCAGAGTTCTGGGTGATATTGGAGAGTCCAGAAGCACTGACCCAACCAATATAATGTTTCAATAGTTTTGAAACTTAGAGTCCTTTATTATTTGACTAACAAGTACTCTTTTTATTTAGGTGAAATCCTGCATATTTGAATTGTTGGTAAGCATTCAGTCCCCCTCTTAACTGAAGATGAAATTTGGTGTATTCTTGTAATTCTCTGTCTGGTTTTACCTGGCTCATCATAACAATATGAAAAATCTTTAGAGAAGATTTTCATCTTCCTTGTTCAGTGCATTCTTCAGTGACAAAAACCGTGCCCATTAATTAATATTAAGTTGAAAGAACTCAGTAGTAGGTATTCAATGAATACCACCTCAGAAAATGAGTAAATACATTATTTATCTATTTGGGGGTCACTGTTTAAATGGACATTCTCAAGATGTTTACATTAGGGTATCTCCAGTTTCCTTTTCTTCCTTTCTTCCTTTATTTTTTGGGAAAGGAGGACATTCATTCCTGAACACTGATTCTTCTAATTGACACTGCCCTCTTTTAGATAGCATCCATATTTTTAGCTTCTAAATTGTTGCTTTCTTGTGCAATATTAAGAACCTGAGCTATGGAATAGTAAAAAATACGTTAAGGCTTGCTATGATCTATTTCTCTCATTTATTTATCTACTTAATAATATGTATATCACAAAGTTGTAGTAATAACTTTGTTAAATACTTTAACTACAGAGGAAGATTTTGTGATTGTTCAACCTTTATGCACAGAGGCTTATAAAACCTGCAAGTATCCACAAATTAATCATTATAAAAGGATTATGGATCTGCATGAAGATAAAGTTATTTTGTTAAATGGAGGATCTCAAACTGTTAGTAACTTGTGATATTAACTGAATGGGTCAAGTGTAATTTTTTTTTTAGATAAAGACATTATTAGAGAAAGTAGAAAAATACATTGTGAGGAGGTAATGGACAGGATCAGCAGAAGAGAAACTGATGTCAAGAGTAATATTCTTTAAACTAAAGCAAATGAGAAATGAGCAGGATAGTGTCTTCCAGATTTAATAAGAATATTAATTTATGCAAATTTGTTTTAGTTATAAATGTATAATTTACATACTTTGCTTATATAAATCTATGACCTGTGATGTGTGTATTGCGAGTTTAAGGAGGGAAGGTCTGAAAGTGACACAAGATGACTGATTATGTTTCAATAAAACATTCTGAATTGTGAAAACCTTTCAAAATGTTAGAACAAACATTGCTATTGAACATCATTTAGTTGAACATTTTTTATTTTATAAGTAATAAAATAAGGGCTCTGCAAAAATGAAATTATCTTCTAAAATTATAATTTAGATTAGTGGGAAATTTAACTTTACAACTCAAGTCTCCTATCAGTTTTCCACTAAATCACAGAGGCTAAGAAAACATGCTAACTGTCCAAGCATGTAACTTTGGATCTGTTCTATTTATTAAACTGAAACTGCCATTAAAATTATTTTCATAAGCAACCATATTTATTATATTAAGTGCCATCACCACAAAAAATGTAACTGTTCTCCAATTTTAAAGAATAAATACTCATTTAAATAGGATGCCTCTAATTGTGGTTACATAATTTCTTTACTTTTTATCCTTATTATAATGAATTAAGAGAAATTTGTTTTTTGTTAACATTGGAATAATTGTTCATGTATTTGGTATTGTAACTATTCTAATATGTGTTCAAAACAAGCACCAATTAAAAATATTACTGCATCCTTATCATCTTCTGCCAGCTGGTTGTTCATATTAACATTTCAGGGGATCACAGTGTTATTTTAGGAAGCTGCTTATCAGGTTATGGGTTTTTGTTTTTGTTTGGTTGAATTTTTTTTTTAGCTAATTAGCGAACAGTCTGAGAAAAGCTTTATCTTTAATGTAGTTTCAAAAGTAATGAAGGTGGGAATAATAAAGACCTTTGGAGACATTCTATACAGAAAAGCTGACTTCTATTATATTAATATTTGCATATGTTTGTCAGATTATTTTCTATTTCTCTCTTTTAAAACTTTCTCAATCACTTTGCTTTAGATGTATTTCCTACATACAGAAAACTGTTGGGTTTTGTTTTGTAGGCACTTTGAAATCTTTTTTAAAATGTAATAAATTAACCTACTTTCACTTAACATAAATACTTTATGTTACTTAGTGTAATTATTTTATGTCATATTTACTAAATTTCTCTAGGTGTGTATCTCCTTCTCTTGGTTAATCATGTTAAGGGTCTTGGTTGACTTATAAATATTTCTTCCAAATTTATTTTGGAAGAAATAAATTTGGAAGAACTAAATCTTTATACAAAAAGTAGTGAAGTTATTTTCAACTAATGACTCACAGAAGGTGCTCAGAGTATTTTCATTTTGGCCCAGGAAGTGCATACTGAAAACAGAGTAATTTTTCAAAATTCTAGTCTAATTTAAAAGACCATCAGAACTATTGTTTTTCACTGTGATTTTGAACATACAAAAATATGTTTTATTTAAGTGAGAAAATTCAAATAATGTTTGTGATTCATGAATTAAATGATTACATGTGTCCTGATTTACATAGGTGCCTCATTTCAAATATGATCTTATTATTCTCCAAAAGGTCTAAATCTTGCAAACATCTTTTAGATTTGCCTTAATTTTAAATTTGCCATGTTCTGCTTTGTATAACCTTGATAATCATTATAACCATTATTTTTGCAGGGACTTAATTATGTGAAAATAATTAGCCCTCTTTAAGGGATCTAGCATCTTCTTCACTCAATTATGTTCTTCCTCAATGCAACTTAAAACCACAGTGAGATATCACCTTAATACACCCAAAATGGCGATGATTAAAAAGTCAAAAACAAAAAAGCAATAGATGTTGCCATGGATGTGGTTAAAAGGGACTGCTTAGACACTGCTGGGAATGTAAAGTAGTACAACCTCTATGAAAAACAGTATAAAGATTTCTCAAGAAATTAAAGTAGATCTACTATTCAATTCAACAATCCTACTACTAGGTATCTACCGAAAGGAAAAGTCATCATTATATCATCTACCCAAAGGAAAAATCATTGTTATATCAGAAAGAAACCTGTACACATATATAATAAGGGGTACTACTCAATCATAAAAAAAGAAAAAAACGTCTATTGCACAATTTGTATCGAGCTAGAGGCCATTGTCCTAAGCGGAGTCACTCAAGAATGGAGAACCAAATAATATATGTTCTAACTTATAAATGGGAGCTAAGCTTTTGGTATGCAAAGGCATGCGGAGTGGTACAATGGATATTGGAGATTTAGAAAGGGGGAGGGTGGGAGTTTTGGAAAAAACTACACTATAACTGCACTAAAATCTTAGACTTAATCACTGTACAATGCAACCATGTAACCAAGACCTACTTGTACCTCAAAAGCTATTGAAATCAAAATATATATATTGAAATTATGTCCTTCCTCAATATGACCCAGCCTCAAGGTGACCCAGCCTCTCCTTTATTCAAGAGATTCTTAGTACGTAAACTACTCAAGAAAGGAAACAATTAAGGGTCCATGAGTCTGTCTTGGTGGCAAGTTATATTTCTGTTCAGTAGATCTAGAATTACTCACACAGATCAAGAAAGAATGTAAGAGACTGCCATCACATTTATTTTTTCTAGGAAATCCATGGTCAATTAGCCAACACCATAGATCTCTGTGAGTCAATGTATTCTGATCACAGCTTTGCATCTCCTCTCTGTTACAGTAACCATGCTTGGCTTGTGTAGTAACTAAGTGCCACCATGTGGACTATGCCACTTAGGATCCTCTTATCCCTGTCGCATTGAGAGATTTCTGTTTTTTTTTTTTTTCTTTATTTTTTTATTTGAGATGGAGTCTCGCTTAACTGGAGTGCAGTGGCTCTATCTTGGCTCACTGCAACCTCTGCCTCCCTGGTCCCAGTTCAAGCAATTCTCCTACCTCAGCCTCCCAAGGAGCTAGGATTACAGGCATGAGCCACCCTGCCCAGATAATTTTTGTATTTTTTGGTAGAGATGAGGTTTCACCACGTTGGCCAGTCTGGCCTTGAACTCCTGACCTTGTGATTCACCCACCTCGGCCTGACAAAATGCTGGGATTACAGGTGTTAGCCACCACGTCTGGCCGAGATTCCTGTTTTATTGCAGCAGTTACTATTGTAATTTCTGACATACAGAAAAGAATGACTACAGAGCTCTTCAGGGATGCTGGGATTCCCCTCACATATTTGAGAAGTTGAGAAGATATGAGCAATAATAAAGAAAGATTTTAATATTTTTAATAAATCATATCGTCTGTGAGTGTTTTTATAACACATCTCTATTTTATAATATCTAAATTTAAATATCTCAGCCCTTTCAAACACAAGCAAGTTATATATACTTAGCACTAAATATATTTATAATTCAGAATTTAATATGCTATTTTTACATATTCTAGAGAATCAACAAGATTATACTGTGGGTGGAAAAGCATAGCTCTCCACATATATTATATAATTATGTTTGAACGTACATATGGCATAATTTAAAATGGAATAAATATGAGGGCAAATCTTGTTTTTTTGTAACATATGCATTAAATTTTTATTATAGAATTTAACCAGTTAGTAAAGCAACCACAACAAATAGTTAACTTCAGAGGAAATAAATTTTTTGAAATATGTTTTAAACTTCTAAAAAAATTAGATCAAAGCAAATGCTCATTTTCATGTTCTCTAAACAAAAATGCTGCTTTAACTTGAGAGAATACACACATACACACCACACACAGAAACACACACATACCCACTGAAAATATTTGGAATCTAATTACACACCTGAAAAATTATGTTTAGATCTCACCACTTATATTCATCATTTTCACTTTCCTATAGAACCTGATGTAGAGACCTGATTTTTACATGTGGTCCTTGTTATATGATAGTAAAGAGATTTTAGGAGACAAATTGTTCAATAGCAAAAGAATAAAACATTTCCCTCAAAATGGCTCTAGGGACTTTTAGAGAACAAATTTTTTTTAATCCTCAGGCTAGTAGCAGATAGAGCCTTTATGTCTAAAGCATCGTGTTTTGTTTTATTTTGCTTTTAGAGGTGAATTTTCTGAGATGCCCACAAGATCTCTAAATTTTATTTAGTGCTAAATTTTTATCGTTAACCAAATAACATAAAGAATAATCAAAGTCATTTGGAAAAAAGAAAAACAAAATTGGTTGTCAAATATTTTAAGTACAGGACCTTTTTTCATATAAAAATGTCTCAGAGACTTCGAAGAGTGAATTTTTAGGTTCAGCTAATTGAAGGAACAGATTATGGATACCAGACTTATGGATTCAGCAATTCTTTAGACATACATAATATTTTATTAAACAAAATAGTCATATTTCAAAAAAAGTAGTACCTGGTTTATAATGTATAGTCATATACACATTATTGATGGGGATACATTCTGAAAAATACATCATCAGACAATTTCATCATTGTACAAACATCATAGACTGTATTTACACACACCTAGAAAGGATAGCTTACTACACACCTAGGCTATATGGTATAGCCTATTGCTCCTTAGCTACAAATCTGTATAGCCTATTACTTCACTAAACACTAAAGGCAATTATAATACATAAGATATGTCTTTGTGTTCCTAAGCAAATGTATACATACAAAAAGGTACAGTGAAAATGCCGTATAAGATATAAAATGTGGTACATTTGTATGGGACACTTACTATGAAGGTAGCATGCAGGATTGGAAGTTGCTCTTGGTGAGTCTGAATAAGTGGAGAGGAAATATGAAGGCCTAGGATGTTTTTGTACACTACTATAGACTTTATAAACACTATACACTTAGGCCATATTAAATTCATATTTTTTCTTTAATAAGAAGTTAACCTCAGCTTACAATAAATTTTTTACTTTATAAAATTTTTAGTTTTTCAACTTCTTGAATTTTGTAATAACAGCTCAAAACCCAAACACATTGTACAGCTATATAAAAATATTTGCTTTATGCCCTTATTCTATAAGCTTTTTTCTATTTGTAGCATTTTTATTTTTTATCTTGTAAAACTTTTGTGTTGAAAACAAAGACACTAACACACATGTTAGCCAAGGCCTGATCAGGGTCAAGATCATCAATATCACTGTCTTCCACCTCCATATCTTGTCCCAGTGAAATGTCTTCAAAGGCAATCATGCACATGAAGCTGTCATCTCCTAGTATAATAATGACTTCTTTTAGAACACCTCATGAGATAACTGTCTGAGAATGTTTTGCAGTTAATGCCTTTCTTTTATAAGTTCAAGAATTACACTTTAAATAATGATAAAATTATAAATACAGAAACCACAAACATAGTTATTTATTATCATTGTCAAGTATTATGTACTGTACATAATTGTATATACTATACTTTCATTTGACTGGTAGTGCAATAGGTTCATTTACACCACCATCACCGAAAGCACTTGAGTATTGGGTTGCGATATGACTTATGATGGCTACAACATCACTAAGTGATAGGATTTTTTTAGCTTCATTATAATCTTATAGGGATACCATCATATATGTAGTTTTTTATTAGCCAAAACATCATCATGTGTTGCATGGCTGTGTATAATTTTATGTACCTCTTGCTGTGAATTACCATTAAGTTTTGTGTTAAACACTGAAACAGAAAATAAAAATTGAGTTCGACTGGACATCGTGGCACATGCTGTAGTCCCAACTACTCAGGAGGCTGAGGCAGGAGGATCCTTTGAGTCCAGGAGTTCAGCCTGGCTACATGGCAAGACCCATTTGAAAAATAATAATAGTAATAATTGAGGATGTAAGATATTCAAAAGGCAAATGCCTTAAAATCACCTTATACTCTATTCTATTTTAGGAAAATATTTAGTGGGACTTGAGCTTTCTGTAATACTTTGGAACAGGACTAGAATCTATTTCAGGGTTTAAAATATGGTTCTTGCTTTCCTTGAGTCTCTTCTCCCAGATATGACATATTGGCCCTCTTCCCTGTGACATGCCTAATCTGCCATTGGCTGGCTTTCATACTAAACTTTTGTTTTTAGCCTACTATCAATTCCACTTTTACATTGACAAAACATATTTTTTTTGTTTGTCAATGTAAAAACTGAAATTTTTACATTCAACTTTATTAAATTTCAATGATGAATTTAAATTTAAATGCTGAAAATTTAAGAACTAAAAATGATATTTGAATAGATATGTTTATAAACAGACATATGTCTCATTTTTGTATGCAGTCAACACATCACATGTGTATGTCTCTTGTATGTTTCTACGTGGGAATAACTTGAATTACTATGTAAGCTCCCTGAGAATATTAAGTTTATTTAGGGAAACACAACATATTTACATGAAAAACAGAAAATAATATTACAAATAAAACTGAGATCACAAGATGACATATAATTAATTCTCAGTGAATGACATGCTATGAAATCATCAGAAGAGATGACTATATGGGAAAAGCTTTATGAAATTAGTTTGTACTGTAAAGAAAATTGTGTTTTGTTACACAGAAAGAACTCTTTCCAGTGTGGTATTATGTTTCATATGATTTTCAGTGTATTAAAATACTCATAGAGTAAGTTGAAAAGATAGTTGTATTCTTTTCATTTAATCTTTCATAAAATATATAATCAAAATGATATACTTTTAAAATAATCACATATAACAAAATCAATATACCAGTAAAATAATCACAGTTTAAGATTTATTTATTTAAGTAAAATACTGTATATTATTTCTAAAACCTGGATTAGCTGAGCCAACATTAATTTATAAGATATAATGCCCATTTTATATACAAATGGAAACAAGAAATACGATTTTGAAATTGATTTTAATCATAGGCTAAACAAAGATTCATAAAATATTAACCTGAATAAAAATTTAGGACATGTTTATTCTTGTTGCTGTATATGTACAAATACAAAATATTGTATTTCCTGAAATTTTTCATTTTGCATATTGTACTTATTTTATGTGTACCCATCTTGTTTCCCATTCTCTGTCCAGAATTATTTAAATTCTGAATTTTAAAATTAAATTAAAATTAAAATTTCCACTTACTTGGATCTAAAATATTAATGTGTACATTTAAAAATTTTCTAAACATGTAGTAAATATTTTTTTTTAATTTTTTTACTTATACTAGTTTAAGTCATAGTTGAGCAATGAAAATATAAGCTTTCACTAATCCTAGCCATGTGGATGGTTTCAGTAGCTGCGGTAAGCTTAGGCAGAACCAGTGTTTGGAGTTCATTTCTCTAACAAACATTTAGTAAAATGGAAACACATAATACTGTTTTTCTCAGTCCCCCAATCAGAGTCAGATATCCTCCTTTAAAATTTCATATTTGACTGATAGGTATAAGAGTTGCAGAAATGAATGGGACTATTGGACTAGTTGTACTAATGGAATAGCCGCCTCTAGCAGACACAAGACAAATGCCCTGAATATATTTCATACTAGTTGAGAGAAAATATGAACACAATTTTAATGGAAATGTTAGATTAAAAAACAGGGATGAGGAGCTGCAAATTCAATGTATAAATTCTGCTAAAATCTCTGGCTGACTCAGAAACCATGTAAACTTGAGGCCAAGACTAGGCAGCACAGTTAAACCTCATTAGTCATCAGGAAAGCACAAAACTACAATAAATTACTACTACATTACTACAATAAATTACATCCATCAGAATGGCTGCAGTGAAAATGCCTGTCAATTTTAAATGTTGACAGAAACATGGAATAACCAGACCTATCACAAATGTTTGAAGATAAAGTGTTAAAACCACTTTAGAAGAAAATCTGGAAGTTGTTTTCCCCCTTTTTAAGTAAAAATATACAATCTGTGACATAGCTTTCTCATCCTCAGCATTTATTAGAAAGAAATAAAAAATTCTTTTCTTTTCTTTTTGAGATGGAGTTTCACTCTTGTTACCTAGGCCTTTGAGGGGGTGGGAGGTGAGATTAAGGAAATGTCTGAGGTGATGATAATTGTCTCTATCTTGATAAGACTTGAATTAGAAATATTCATTCATCAAAACTCAGCCAGTGTACACCTAGGATTTGTGCATTTTATTATATGTGATGAATATATTAACCAACAAAAGAAAAACTTGAACAAATATTAAACTCTCCCTATATAACCATATTCACAGGCTTATGTACTGATATTTGCATTTACAGGAAATTATAAAATAAGTTAATGATAAAGCTGGCTAAAATAAAAACCATTGTCAAGTAGCCAAAGAAAGAAAAATTATAGACAGGAAAATGTATAACCATTTAATTCAAAAGTTAGTTTAATGAAGTTTGCTATGTCAGAGTAAAGTTTTCAGATTGGTGGAGAATAATGAATAGCAATCAAATAATAACTAAGTATTACACAAGTTGAATAATTTCCTAAAATAAATCATGAGGCTCTTAAAATTTGGCACAACTTTTACGGTACTAGAAAAGTCTATGTAGAAAGCATATTACGGCTTTGTAAGTTCTCATAATGTAGCAGACCAATGGATTTTAAAAGTTGCAGATACATATAGGGGATTGTACAGTTCAGATCTGTGATATGTCAAAAGGAGAAAAAGAACCTGGGAAATCAGTTTATCTGGATTCAGGTTTCATGTCAACTTTAGATTTCTTGAGGAAGGAGAGTGTTTTAGGACTTATTTTACATATGTTCTCATGTTCTCAGGTAGAAGACAGACACATTTGGGTAAACTTTCAAAGAGTTTTTCCAGGAGAACAGTGTCTTTATGAAACGGATTGTTTTGTAAAGTTTGGAAAGCATAAGCTATTGTGATTGTACTGAAGAACAGAGAAAGAAATTATAGAAGGAATCTTATGACATACAGCAAACTCTAATTCCATTCCTAATTTGCAATGTATCCCTTCTTTTTTAGTCCCAGCAATTTAGTGTTCACCTACTCTGCCTCTTCTGCAGCTACTGTGGCCATTTCATCACAGTTGTTGATGAAGATATTGAAAATATTCCTAGAAGTCTGCTTCTGGGGAAAACCATGGTGAGGTACTATACAGAAAAACCACCCCAGGGCGCATAATAATCATACTCAAGAAGATCAAGAATCAAGACAAAAGGAAACTCTTGAAGTCAGCTAGAGAAATGAGTCAAGCCATATACAGAAGAAATCTCATCAGGGAAACAAGAGACCTCTCAGCAAAAATCTATATACCAGAAGAGATTGGGGGCAAATTTTCAGTGTCATTAAAGAAAAGAAATTCTGATTCTTCAGGGATCCAGAACTAGAAATTCCATTTGACCCAACAATCACATTACTGGGTACGTACACAAAGGATTGTAAATCATTCTATTATAAAGACACAAGCACATGTATGTTTATTGTGGCACTGTTCACAGTTGACTTGGAACCAACCCAAATGCCCATCGATGATAGACTGGACAAAGAAAATGCATCCCATATACAACATGGAATACAATGCAGCCATAAAAAAGGATGAATTCATATCCTTTGCAGGGACATGGATAAAGCTGGAAACCACCATTCTCAGCAAACTAACACAAGAGCAGAAAACCAAACACCCCATGTTCTCACTCATAAGTGGATGTTGAACAATGAGGACACATGGACACAGGGAGGGGAACATCACACACTGGAGCCTGTCAGGGGGTGAGGGGCTAGGAGAGATATAGCATTAGGAGAAATATCTAATGTAGATGACAGGGTGATGGATGCAGCAAGCCACCATGGCACGTGTATACCTATGTAACAAACCTTCACATTCTGCACATGTACCCAAGAACTTAAAGTATAATCTAAAAAAAGAAAAGAAATTTCAACCAACAATTTTATATTTCATCAATATGAGCTTCATAAGGGAAGAAGAAATAAAATTATCAGACAAGTAAAGATTGTGGGAATATATTTCAACTAGACCAGATTTATAAGAGGTTTTTTGAGAGTGTTAAACATGGAACTGATAGATTGACACCTGTTATCACAAAACTCACTTAAGCACATAGCCCAAGGTACTATAAAGTAATCGTATAATCAAGCCTATGTAATAACCACCCAACAACACAATGTCGGGATCAAAATCTCACATATCAAAATTAATTCAGTATGCAAATAAGCTAAACACACCACTTAAAAGACATACAATACCATGCTGAATAAAAGAAAAACAGTATCCAATATCTGCTGTCTTCAAGAGACCATCATGCATATAACAACAACCAAGGCTCAAAGTAAAGGGATACACAGTAAGACTTACCACGCAAATGAGAAACAAAGAAGAGCAGAAGTCACTGTTCTTACACCATATAAAACAGATTTTATGTCACTGAAAATTAAGAAGGACAAAAACGAACATTACGTAATGATAAAAGGGACACTCCAACAAGGGGTCATAACTATACTAAATATATACACATCCAGCATTGGTGCACCATATTCATAAAATAACATCTAGGTCTAAGAAAAAGGCTGAGAGAATCACAATAATTGTGGGAAAATTTAACAACTCACTGATAGTGTTAGCCAAATCACTGAGGTAGAAAACTAATTAAATTTCAGAATTAAACTTGACACTTGACCAAATAGACCTAATAGACATCAACAGATCACTCCATGTAACAACCACAAAATGTACTTTTTTTTTTTATTTCTACATAGAGCATATTCTAAGATTGACCATGTGCTTGGTCATAAAGCAAGACTCAGTCAATTAATACAAATTAAAATTGTACCAAGCACACTCTTGGACAACAGTGCAGCAAAAATAGCAACCAATATCAAGATTATCTTTCAAAACTACACAAATTTATAAATATTAAACAACTTGCTGATAAACAACTTCTGAGCAAACATCAAAAATAAGGCATAAATTTAAAAATTATTTGAAATTAATGAGAGTTGGTACACAACCTACCAAAATCTCTGGGATGCAGTTGAAGCCATGCTAAGAGGAGAGTTTATAGAACTAATTGCCTTCATCAAGAAGCCCCAAAGCTGGCAGAAGAAAAGAAATAACTAAAATTAGAGAGGAACTTAGTGAGGTTGAGATGCAAAATCCATACAAAAAATGAATGAAACTGAGTTGGTTCATATATATATATGATTAACAGAACCCATAAGATCTAAATAAGTATTTAGTGCCATTCCATATGAAAGTATGCCATTTACACTTAATCTGCCAATCCCAGGGTAGCATACTTATTGTTAGAGAGATTTTAAGAGTCTTAAACATCTCCCTAATTACATGTCTTAAATAGAAGCCTGGCTAGTCTCCTTAGAACCTGCCCACTTTTTCATACTGCACATAATTTATCTACTGCTCTAGATTCTCAGAATAAATCTATAGTAATTCTTTACATAATTTATATAAAGTTCTTGCAATAATACAGAAAAAAAACCAAGGGTTTTACAATCTTCTTCCATTATAAAAAAATACAATGCCAATGCCAATACTAACCAACATAATCCTTCATTTGTAAATATGGAATACTAGTCAAGGACTAACAGATGTTTGAAGAGGGCCAGGAGCAGCCAGAGAAAGAACAGGATATAAAAACTAAGGCACAGATTTTAAAAATAATGCAAAGAATAAAATGCAATTAATATTCTTTAACAGAATTAAGAATATATTATATCCAGGTTGTTAAGAAACTAAAAACAAAACCAAAAACCACCAAAATGTTGAGTAATA